TACACACAAGGGCGTCAGAAGCATCCGTAATGTTGGGGGGGACACAATGATGTGTGTAGGTGTGTGTGTGATGTGCACGCATTTAAAAAAAGGTGTTCACTAGTGAACAAAAAATCAACAATTCACTTAGATTTCCTTTAATTCCACACATTTAAATTATGTTTCACCAAGTTTGTGTAAATTCAGCTGTGGGTTTAAAGTAATTTTAACTTTAATACACTTTAATAAAGAGCGTCAGGTCGGCACTATTTGTCTTTATAGAGAAATAAAAACATCACCACTAGACTTTTTTACTTGTGTTCAACACTCCTCATGTAAATGGTGTTTCTCACGAACCTTGAGGACAATAAGGTGTGGGGTTTTAAAGACATTTCAACTTTAATGCAGCTGAACACACAGCGTCTTACACCTGCAGCGTCTTACAGCGTCACACTTACTGCTAAGATAAGATGCTACAGACGTAGCGCTCCACTTCTCTCCTCCTAACATGAATATATGTTTATGATCAAACCCCCCCCGGTCAACAACTGTCCGCACTAAGCTGCTAAACTGGCGAGCGAGCAACACAGAGGTGTCTCCACCTCCTCCACCTGTGCGCGTTTTCTGCCGAGGCAGGAGGAGATGCACAGACACACTGCAGGTGTTACACCATATTCTGTGACCACCGTATATTGTGACCGTGGCAACAGGCTGCTGTGTTTAGAGTTGGAGGTAACCAGGAAAACCTGGAGTGGAGTTTTAGTGGTTTGAGTATTCTATTAATCAAGTGGAATGGATTTGTTCACGAAGAAAGAGAAACTGCGCCGCCTGAACTAATGTTTTATAGTAAAAGTGGGGGGGTCCAAATGAACGTTTTTTTAATGTGGGGGGGACTTGTCCCCTTTGCATATAATGGTTGCGACGCTTATGTATACATATATACACACACACATATATATATTTAACAGCACCTTTTATATCGGTGAGTTATTTTGATGGAATAGCCTATGTTCGATATTTAACTTTATCGCTAATATCGGCCGATACCATGCCGATAATATCCTACATCCCTATTTTATACCTTTATGACTTCATCCAATTTAAATACTTGGTCTGTTCATCCAGACACTGTTTACTAAAGGGATCCTGGATGTGTAGCTCCATTTCTCAGTAAATGGTAATTTACATTTCTTTAAAAGAAAGTGTTTAAACAGGTTGACAGTATAAACAAGGATTGTGTTATTACAGTGCCTTGCAAAAGTATTCGGCCCCCTTGAACTTTTCAACCTTTTGCCACATTTCAGGCTTCAAAAATAAAGATATAAAATTATAATTTTTTGTAAAGAATCAACCACAAGTGGGACACAATCGTGAAGTGGAATGAAATGTATTGGATGTGTCAAACTTTTTTAACAAATAAAAAACTGAAAAGTGGAGCGTGCAATATTATTTGGCCCCTTTACTTTCAGTGCAGCAAACTCACTCCAGAAGTTCAGTGAGGATCTATGAATGATCCAATGTTGTCCCAAATGACTGATGATGATAAATAGAATCCACCTGTGTGTAATCAAGTCTCTGTATAAATCACCTGCTCTGTGATAGTCTCAGAGTTCTGTGCAAAGCGCAGAGAGCATCATGAAGACCAAGGAACACACCAGGCAGGTCCGAGATACTGTTGTGGAGAAGTTTAAAGCCGGATTTGGATACAAAAAGATTTCCCAAGCTGTAAACATCCCAAGGAGCACTGTGCAAGCAATCATATTGAAATGGAAGGAGTATCAGACCACTGCAAATCTACCAAGACCCGGCCGTCCCTCTAAACTTTCATCTGGAACAAGGAGAAGACTGATCAGAGATGCAGCCAAGAGGCCCATGATCATTCTGGATGAACTGCAGAGATCTACAGCTGAGGTGGGAGAGTCTGTCCATAGGACAACAATCAGTCGTACACTGCACAAATCTGGCCTTTATGGAAGAGTGGCAAGAAGAAAGTCATTTCTCAAAGATATCCATAAAAAGTGTTGTTTAAAGTTTGTCACAAGCACCTGGGAGACACACCAAACATATGGAAGAAGGTGCTCTGGTCAGATGAAACCAAAATCCAGCTGTTTGACCACAATGCAAAACGATACGTTTGGCGTAAAAGCAACACAGCTCATCACCCTGAATACACCATCCCCACTGTCAAACATGGTGGTGGCAGCATCATGGTTTGGGCCTGCTTTTCGTCAGCAGGGACAGGGAAGGTGGTCAGAATTGATGGGAAGATGGATGGGGCCAAATACAGGAACATTCTGGAAGAAACCTGTTTGAGTCTGCAAGAGATCTGAGACTGGGACGGAGATTTATCTTCCAACAAGACAATGATCCAAAACATAAAGCCAAATATACAATGGAATGGTTCACAAATAAACATATCCAGGTGTTGGAAGGGCCAAGTCAAAGTCCAGACCTGAATCCAATCAAGAATCTGTGGAAAGAGCTGAAAACTGCTGTTCACAAACGCTCTCCATCCAACCTCACTGAGCTCGAGCTGTTTTGCAGGAAGAATGGGCAAGAATTTCAGTGTCTCCATGTGCAAAACTGACAGAGACAAACCCCAAGAGACTTGCAGCTGGAACTGCAGCAAAAGGCGGCGCTACAAAGTATTAACGCAAGGGGGCCGAATAATATTGCACGCCCCACTTTTCAGTTTTTTATTTGTTAAAAAAGTTTGACACATCCAATAAATTTCATTCCACTTCACGATTGTGTCCCACTTGTTGTTGATTCCTCACAAAAAAAAAAAAATCAAAATTTTATATCTTTATGTTTGAAGCCTGAAATGTGGCAATAGGTTGAAAAGTTCAAGGGGGCCGAATACTTTCGCAAGGCACTGTATCTTATTTCCTTGTAGTCTGTAGTTGGAAACTTAAAGATGGACCTGTACTGGGACATTTGTAGTGGAGACACTAACGTCATTTTTATCTCGTAACATTTATTGATTTGATAACACAGCCCTGTCAAATATTTGTTCAAGATTACTACGCGTTTTAGTTTTGTATCCTGGCTTTTTGGAAAGTGCACACGCATCCTATTTTAATCAACAAACCAACAATGATCTGATGCACCCAGTAAAGTTTCTTACCTAAAAAACCCTGCATCACACTTTCTGCCACTTCATACTCAACACCTAATCTAATCTAATCCAAGGATGAAAGGTGATTGGCTCTTACCTTATCAGGTAACAGCAGAAGAGGAGGCTGAGGATGAAGACAAAGATGGCCGTCCCAAACACCACGATGTAGATATTAAGAGGAAGGTTCTGGAACCCTATATTTGGCATCCTGAAACTGTAGTGTGGGAAATCGGAGCTCATGGATAATCTGAACAGAGAGACACGACCGGACAGGAAATAAGTATTTTGGCACACTGTGAACACTAAAACAATCATGAACTAATAAAACAAATGACTCATGAGAAAAATGAAAGTAACACCAACTTCAGCCACGCTTACTCTACAAAACATAATTATTAGAGGAGCACGGTCCAGAAGCATCGTGTGTCTTAGAGATATATTAAAAACTCAAAACAGCACATTACAGTATCATAATAAAACTCTGAAAGCACATCATGTCCTGTATCCGTCTTCACTTTGAGCACAACTAATGTAGAGTTTGAGCTGGAAGGTCGGTTTGATCCGGTCAGACAGCTGAAGCTCAGAGGACAGCAGGACAAAAGGTCCACGTCCAACAAATCACAGAGAAATGAACTTTACACAAACAAGATGAGAGGGCTTCTGAGGGAACGGTGCTTGCTTTTAACTCTGTGTACGTCTTAATACAAAGTGTTTGATGGATCTGAAGCTTTTAGCTAAGCTACATGAATTTATTTAGTTTTATTTGATGGTAGCAACACGTAAAAAGAATTCATTCAAGTCTTGCTACACAAACATTGGTCTTGTTTTTTTACTCTGCACAGAAGGGACATGACTGGACATGTCTACACCTACAGAGAGAAAGTGGAGGAAGAGGACAGAAATAGCTCCAGTTTCTTTTCAGGGGTGTTATCTTGTGTGTCCCCCCCAAACAGCATCATTCCTCTCCACTCCCCCAGTGGAACGTTTCAACTGTTTTTCTGAGACCATTAGCAACCATGAGCTGTCCCCTCAAAAACACCAGCCTGCGTTACATAACTGAAGTCTGACTGCTACATCTGTTTTCATCAGTCTGTGCCCCCCACTGCTAACATCTGCTCACATGTGTCCAGCTTTACGTGAGTGAAGGCCCTGTCCGTAAACCGGACTCGTGGTGTTGGGGAGTAGGAGGCTCTCTAAGCCACAAACATTGTTGTCTGAATTACTGACCATAAAACACAACAGATTAAACCTCGATGCATCTTTAAATCTGCATACAGATGAAGTGGAACTGAAGTGACTTCCCAACAAAAGTAGAAATAAAAAAAGACACACAAAAAATAAAATAAAAGGTTAAGCTAAATCTCTGGTGGGACAAAAAACTAAATGAGCACTGGAGTTCAGTTCATTAAAAGTAATAAACCCACGAGTGAATAAAACAGCCCATGTAGCCCAATGAATTAAATCCATGACGTCATTTTAAACTACTTTTAATGTTCATCTTTGGCCTCAGGAACATTTTGGATGGAGCTGTAGAGCTTTAACGTAATTAAAATAAACTTGTGCATCTTTTCTTTATAATACCAGGTACTAGATTAATACCATCATTTCCAGTGAAAGAGCCACTACTTTTGGGACTCACTCCGCAACTTATACACATGAACGGATAATTTATGCATTTTTTTATATATATATATTTTATTTTAACAGGCTGTTGAGCTTCCTGCCACCAATTAACATTTTCCTTTGACACACCTGGGCTATCACAGAACTGCACAACACACACCACTCTTGGAGTGATGTTTCGAAGCACAGACAGAGTGAATGCCACAGGTATTCATGACAAGTACTTAAAGCTCATGGTTCCAATTTGCTACCCATAATCCCACTCAGTGGCCATGTGATCAAAAGTCACCCTAATGACCAAAGAGGCATCGCACTCTCATTAGCTATGTGTACATGTGCAAAATTCTTTGACCAGATTGAAATGTTTTCAGATTAAATAATTCAAATGTATCGTTTACGTGGGCACAATCCGTTCACGACGAGCGTTTACATGCAGCGGGCTTTTATTCTGAGCAGAAGTACTGACATGTGCAGAGTGGTAAACTCTTCTTACAAAAACCACAGAAGAAGAAGTTCTACTTCCAAGATGAACATAAACAAACCTGAGCGCCCAAAATGGACCCACGCCAGGTTTTAATGACGGTGGAGACGTTACTGCACTCCCTGACTGAGCTACAGGTGATACAGATCATTTTGAGCTCTTTCAAAGTTTCAAATAGAAATGTGTCGCTCACCAACCAGTTTAGCTTCCTTCACACGCTAATATTATTAGCATTAGCCAGGCAGAAATGATGTAGGTCACACATGCGCAGTCAGGTCAGTTTTCCACGATAAGAAAAAAAAAGAACAGATTAAGTGTTTACATGCACATCGTTCGGATTATGAATCGGCATAAACCACCCCTCACATTCTGATTACAAATTATTTTGGATCGAGCTGAATCAACAAAGAATAATCCGAATGGGGCGTTTACATGGCACACTTTTATAATGACCGTTTAATCCCATTACTTATGTCCCTGTAAACAGAGCTAATGAGTTATGAGAACACACACCCAAGATAGATGTGCATTGATCAGATTTCCTGTTTAAAAATGTGCTGGCTCCTCAGATCAATAACGTTATTAACTGACTTTTTATGTATGTGAATGTTTCTGTTCAGTGCCCTGAGACGACTTCTGTTGTGACTTTGTGCTACATAAATAAACTGAATTTAACTGAACATATTTTACCTCATTTCATAATGTAGTTTCATTTTATATCACTACTTTTATTTACTTTTTATTTTATATGCATTTTATGGATGTTTATTGTTGTGTGTGTACCTTATCTATGGTTTTGTCTAAAACAAGTCTTTCTTGAAAATGAGGCCCTGAGGCTCAATGGGATCTGCAAATTCTGACTGAAAGCCAAAAAAAAAAAATATATATATATATATATATATATATATATATAAATATTTATCACCATGAAAACAACATTGGGCATCCATCCATCAGGGCACGAACAACTCTGTCACCTCCAGACTAAAAAGAAAGTTTCACTTTCACTCAAAACGAAAAATTCCATCGGAAATTTTTTTTAACCATACTGTACATAGCCTATTTTATGTATCTTACTGGTACATATTTAAATAAAACTTAAAAAAATATTTTGGTGTACGGTAAGTATTGCTCACAGCGAGAGAGAACGTGACGGGGTGTTCCTCGAGTCAGAGAGTGTCATCATGAAGTCCTGTGAGGATCACAAGTCTGTGTGTTGAAAGCAAACTAAAGTCTATGAAACGCCATCTGCTGGTTGATTCTTGTACTACAACAAGAGTTGCACATTCTGTCAGGAACTGTGTACAGTTCGATATTAAATTGTGGACACCTGCAGCGTATACACCAGCACGTCTTATTTATGTAACAAAACTGTGTTTCATTTTAAATTTAGTATGCGCGGCTTACAGTCAGGTGCGTTCTGTAGTCCAGCAATTACGGTAGTTACTTTTGTTTTTCTTACAAAAAGCAACCGAGGCTCAGATTTACAAACACTTTAGTAAACTGCTGACTTGTATTTCTTTGAGTGTAGCTGCCGCAGATAAATTTTGCACTCACTGAAAGTCCAACACCAAGCTGGAGTCCTTCGCGCTCTCTTCTTCTGCTCAGACATCGTTCTCCTCTCATCGAAACACAAACACCTGCATGCTGCATGCTTTTATGACGAACTGACAACTCAGAAAACACTTGCTCCCTTTTTATTTGTTTTAATCACAGCAACAACAACACGTTAAGAAAGGCACAACTACGGTAAGTACTTATAATCTACTTGATGCAGCATGTTTACTTCGAGCTATAAGTAGATGACGATGAGCTGTTTGAAACATGAATTGAACATACCCACGAGGTGCCTTCATGCTGAGGAGCACAAACGTCTGCATAGATTTGTAACACAGGCCACTGGAAGGTGGCAGGACTTGTCCTTCACCAACATACTTGAACATTTGCCTCCTGCTCAGATATTTGGATCGTAGCACTGTTCCTCTTTCATAAAGGCTCCTCTAAACTCAAGCCCCTCTCCGCTATGACCCCTTATGGCATCTGGGTCTTCAGAGACACAGAAACCTCCCCTCTGCTCATAGACGTAACACGCTGCTACGTACACCAACGCCTCAGGAGAAATCTGAGTCAAAAACCTTGACAATCCAGGAGTAGATCATTACAGGCATGGGACTTTAACATCATGTACGTAAGGTTTTTTGTTTTGCGTTTTTGGCCCATCCATCCATTTTCTGGATCTGTTTAATCTTATTCAGCACGGGGAGCTGGTCCAGCAGTCAGCGGGGGGAGAAGAGGTTTACTCCTTCAACTGGCTGCCAGTCCAGACAAATTCCCACACAGTTTCTTTTAGCTCATTTTCACCAGCTGCGCACATCGAAGTCACAGCAGGACTTACACAATATCCAACACAGTGATATAAATCCAAAATGGTAAATCAATCAACCTTTATTTATACAGGTAAATCCCATTGAGCCTCGAGGACTCATTTACAAGAGAGACCTGATTTCAACAAAGAAAGATGACAACAATGGACAACAGCAACAACAATAAGCAGTTATAAAAACTCATACTACAGGTTTTTTTTTTTTGTTTTTTTTTTTAACAAATAGGATGGCTAAAAGGAAAAAGGTAACAAAACAAAAAAAAAACAGCTACATTCCAAGACAAATGTATAAAACTAAAAACAGGAACATGTCTGCATTGGACTAAATGGACTATACTTATATAGCACTTTTCTATCTAATCAAGATACTCTTTACAATCTGTGCCCTCATTTACTCATTCATACAGCGCTCCACTAGCTCTCTACAAAGCTACTGTAATCTGAATCTGTAGAGACTAATCAGTGCTTTTATGCCCCTTTCCCACTGTCACGGCGCAGGTTGAATATTTCCGGCTTGGCCCGTGTTTGAGGTCTTTTCCATTAGTACTTCGTACCTGCTCAATTCTGGCCCGGCTTCTCAAGGGGTCCAAGCGAGCCGAACCGTGACGTCAGAAACACTGTCAGTCATTGATTGGTCGGGGGGAGGAGTCTGGGGAGTATTTCCAAACAACCCGATCTGCCATTTTTCTCTACCGCCTGCCATTAGCGATAACTCGAGGAGCGTATCTTGTACGTATTTTAAAGATATAAAAAAACAATT